AAAGTAGGAGAGCGGCAGGGCCGGAAGGCGGCGGGAGCGCAGGGGGGGGAGCTTCCAGCGCAGCCTGCGTGCCCCAGGTACCCGCCGCGGCCGGTGGAGACGGGCCGGACCCTGCCTGCGACCCGCCGTCACGCCGGCTTCCCTCCCTGCAGATCTTGTCCTGACCGTGGACGTGACGCAGCGGTACCAGAAGGTGAAGGGTTTTGGTGGGGCCATGACCGACGCGGCTGCCATCAACATCCTTTCCCTGCCGGAAACGGCCCGGGATCACCTGCTGCGCTCCTACTTCTCTGAGGAAGGTGAGAAGGTCAGGGGAGGCGGGAGGGAGGGTGGCGGGGGCCCTGCGAGCCTCTGCCTCGGCGCCAGCAGGGCTTGGAGACCTCCTGTCCCACTGCCCACCTCTGCCCGTCCCACCCCGCTGTCCCCGGCAGGGCTGGAGTACAACCTTGTCCGGCTCCCTATGGCCAGCTGCGACTTCTCCCTCTACGCCTACACCTACGACGACGTTCCCTTCGACTACGAGCTCACCCACTTCAGCCTGTCGGACGAGGACACGAAGCTGAAGGCGAGCGGTGGGAGGGAGCGGAGCGGGATGTGGGGAGGGCGCAGGGGCTCGGCTCAGGTCGTCCCTCGGCCCCCTCCTGCAGATCCCCCTCCTGCACCAAGCCTTGGCCATGACCAAGCGGCCGCTGTCGCTGTACGCCAGCCCCTGGACCTCCCCAGCCTGGATGAAGACCAGCGAGTCCTTCGTGGGGAAGGGCACGCTGAAGGGGCAGGCGGGGGACAAGTACCACAAGACCTGGGCCAACTACTTTGTACGGTAAGGAGCACCTGGGGCGAGGGGACGGGGGAGATACCCAGGGGATCCTCAGCGGTGGCACTGGAGGGACCCCATGGTTCACCCCTCTTCCCCGCGCCCAGGTTCCTGGACGAATACGCCAAGCACAACCTGACCTTTTGGGCGGTGACGGCGGAGAACGAGCCCATGGCCGGGCTGATCAACAACTACCCCTTCCAGTGCCTGGGCTTCACGGCCGAGCAGCAGCGGGACTTCATCGCACGGGACCTGGGCCCCGCGCTGGCCAACAGCTCCCACCGCCATGTCCAGCTCATCATCCTGGATGACAACCGGCTCCACCTCCCGCACTGGGCTAAAGTGGTGAGTGCGGCGTGTGGTCCGCCAGCACGGCGAGCCGGGGCAGAGCCCCAGTCCCGCTTGGCGCAGCACATCCCTGCGGAGGGCACGGCCGCTCCGTCCCGCGGCGCGAGGGCTGGGGCGCTGGCTCTCTGCCCCACGGGACCCGGTGGTGGCCAGCTTTTCTCCCTGCCAGGTCCTGGAGGATGAAGAAGCAGCTCGCTATGTCCATGGCATCGGCATCCACTGGTACCTGGACTTCATCGGTCCCATACAGGACACGGTGGTGCCCACTCATGAGCTTTTCCCCGACTACTTCATCCTGGGCACAGAGGCGTGCACCGGCTCTGGTTTCTGGGAGAGGGACGTGATCCTGGGCTGCTGGGAGCGGGGGAACCAGTACAGCCACAGCATCTTGACGGTGAGGCCCCCGCGTCGCCCTGCGCAGTGGGCTCCGGAGAGGGCTCCAGGCACGCTCCCTCTCCCGTTGGCACCCCGTTCCTTGGGCAGACATCTGGGCTGTCCCGTTGCAGAACCTGAACCACTTTGTGGCCGGCTGGACCGACTGGAACCTGGCCCTGAACCTGGAGGGGGGCCCCAACTGGGTCAAGAACTACGTGGACAGCCCCGTCATCGTGGACACCAGCGAAGGCATCTTCTACAAGCAGCCCATGTTCTACCACCTGGGGCACTTCAGGTGGGTCGGGGCCCCCCGCCACGCTCTCGGCTGCCCAGGCTCCAGCTCCATGGTTGCAGTCACGGCTTGTCGGGAGGGGAGCAGGGCAGGTTTGGCGGGAGAGGGGCTCTTCTGGGGTCTGACTCACTTCCTGGGGTTGCTTCTTGCAGTAAGTTCATCCCTGAGGGCTCCCAGCGCGTGGGGCTTGTCGCCTCCAAAGAGTCCAAGAAGATGGACCTGGAGTACACGGCTTTCCTGCGCCCCGACGGCGCCGTGGTGGTGGTGGTTCTGAACCGGTGAGCGATGCAGCCCGGCCCGCGAGCGGCGGGACCCCGCGCGTGTGGTTCGTCCTGCTGGGCCTTGTGCACCGCTGGTGCTCGGGAGCTGCTGCAGGTCTGACCCCGCTGCTCCTCGCCCTCCAGGTCCCTGCAGAACATCACCTTCGGGCTGGCTGATACCGTCGGCCTCATCGCAGCTGTGGCTCCAGCCAGCCCCATCCAGACCTACCTCTGGCAGCGGCAGTGACGGGGGTGGGATGCCCATAGCTGGCCAGGGGCTGGACCGACCGGGCCAGGAGAGCCACCCCACGCTGCCCGCAGGCTCGGGGCTGGGAGCACGGAGGAGGCAGCTCACCACTGTCTCTGCCACGGCAAAGCCGAGCGCTGGGGCGAGCTGGAGGAGCGAGCCAGGCCGGGGAGCACCGTGCACACGCAGGAGGGCCAGGAGCACTGGGGTCGCTGGTGCCCCTCAGGGTGGAGATCCCACAGGCTGTGAATGCTGTTTTCTGCTGCTCCGACATTAAATGCTGATGCTGCCCTGCCTCTGTGTCTGTGGCTGGAAGAGAAACGTCCCAGTCCCTCCCCTGCTTCTGGGCATTGTGGCTGGGCGCCGCCCGGGCGGGAAGCCCACAGAAGTCCCAAGAGCCCCGCGGGGCGGCTGCTCGCCCTGCCCCCCCCCCGCTGCTCCCTCCCCAGCTCCCAGCGGGGCTTACCCTACTGGGGAGGTGCTCCAGGCACCAGTCCGCTCCCAGTTTCAAGCGTGTGCTGCCTGGCAGGGGTTGAGCCGAGCCCAGGTGCTCTCCCGCTGCCTTTGCGGGCAGGGTTAGGAACTGGCAGGCAGCTCAGGATTTATCCTGCACGCAGATGCTCTGGGTCCTGGAGCAGGAGTGGGGGCGAAGCGCCTGGCCCCCCCCACACCTTGGTGGAAGCCCTGGGCAGGGATTGTGACCAAGCTTCAGCTTTCCATGCTTTTCCTGCCAAGCTGGAGCCGCGCATGGCCCCGTGCTGGGCTGGGGGGGTGTGCGGCTCACGTCTCGCCCAGCCCGGGGTGCAGGGTGCTCCCCGGGGTCGGGGCTGGAGGCAGAACCAGCTCCAGGAGCATCGCAGCATGGTGGGCTCGGGGTGCGAGCCAGCTCTGGAGGGGGTCAGCTTCTCCTAGGGCTCTGCAGGGAGGGGGGTGCCGGCCGGGGCGTGCTGTCCCCCACGGGGCTGGGGCAGAGCGGTCCCCGCTGCGACGAGGAGGCTGGGGGTGCACCGAGGGCTCAGCACCCACCGCAGAGCTGAGGCAGCTTGAGCAAGCGGGCGCGGGGCCAGGAGCGCGGGCGCACCCAGGACGGAGGGAGGGAGCTCGCAGGGGTGTGCGGAGCGGAGGCTTAGGGCAGGGTTGCAGGCTGGGGCCGCTGGGCTGATCCGGGTCGAAGCAGGTGGGATGGGGCGCGGGAATGTCACAAGGGCTGACAGCAGCAACGCTGCGTGGGCTGGGCACGGCCCAGCGCCAGCTCCGGCAGCGCGCAGGGCAGTGGGTAAGCGGGTGACGGGGTCACGCAGGGAAGCTGGCACGTCCTTGTGCCACCGTGCTACCGGGACGCTGCGCTGGGGCAGGAGCCCCGGGACGCCGCAACGCCCGCAGGGTGCCCGAGGCCTGGGGAGAGCTGGCTCTGCGGAGGGCCACGAGTGTCCCGCTCCTGGTGTTTGTCCACAAGAGGGAAATATTTCTCCAGGATCACAGCAATAGCGAGCCCCGCTCCCAGCACCCCTGTGCCCGGGTGCAGGATCGCTCCTCCACCTGCTGCTTCATTCCCAGGTTCTTACTTACCGGCTGCCTTTAACATTTTGCCAGCCCTGGTAATAAAAGCCGATGTCCGGATAGCGAATCATCCCGGGACCCGTGCCCTCGTCCCTGCGCTCTGCTCGGCTCGGAAGGACCGATGAGCTCTGGGTTAAACGGAGAGGGGGTGAATCCTCCAACGTCATTGGGCTTGGCTCATTAATTCTTGTGCAAAGCGTTGGCTCCTTTTGGGGTGCACGCCGGCAGGTGGCTGCTGGGGCTGGGAGGATGGGGACCCCCCCAGCAGCTGGCCTGGAACCAGTGACCGTCAGCAAGGGCCGGCTCTCCCCACGCTCAGGGCTGCGATGCCGCACCAAGGCCCTGCGCACCCAGCTCCTGCTTTGACGCCAAGGTTTTCGGAGTCGCGATTCCCCGTAAAAGCAGCTCAGCCCCGGCTCCGTGTTCCCAGCGGCCCCATCCCCCCTGGCCTGGCTAAGGGACAAAATTCACCCCCAGGTTCCTCCGCCTGCAGCTCTGGGAACACCGTCAGAAACCCCCGGCTGCTGGGAGCAGCAGCAAGAAGCGGCTTTGAGAGGATTTGGTGGGGCTGCCCAGCATCTCCCGTGCCACCCGCTCCGTGCCGGGGCGTTGCCCTTCCCCTGGGTCTCACTTTTCCTGCTCAGCAAGAAGCTCTTATCAGCCGGTGTTGATAGGGCCAAGCTGCGGCAGCCTCTGCAGTGTTTTTGCTCCCGAGGAGCTGTGGGGGCTGCGGGGCTGCGGCCGGGCAGGGGGCAGGCAGAGCTGGACCCCGAAACGGGGAGGGAAAGGGTGTATGGGGCATCCCGGGCGGCCGGCAGCGGGCTGGGGGCAGCTGATCACCATGGGGCAGCAGGGATTGGCCTATTAATGCCTCCCCAAAATTGGGGCTTATTAGCCTGGGTGTAGCAGCCGGCTGACACGTTAGTCACGGCTGGGGGTGGGAGACCCACGGGGCCAGGAGCTTCCTTCCCCGGCTGCCTGTTTGCCCCGTGAGCGGTAACCGGGGGCTGCCCAGCTCCGGTTGCCCCTTCCCCGGCGGCAGCTGGCCCGGGCGCCCCGTGGCTCCCCCCCACGCGGCAGGCGGAGGTGCGGGACCGTGGCAGGGCAGCGCTGGAGGGTAGGAGGAACTTTGAGGAATTGAATTGCCCCACAGCTGCATCTGATATGCCAGAAAAGGAGAAAATTAATCATGAAGCCTGGCTCCAGCCAGAGAGGGAGAGCGAACGGAGCTGTTTAACTCTGCAGAAGGAAACTCTGAGCCCCTGCGTTCGAGGCTCTTGGGCAGGCGGAGCAGCGGCTGGGAGCTGGCCGCTCTCCGTCCCCCTGGACCAGCTCTGCCGAGAGATGCCGAGGGCATCCCCACAGTGATGGGTGCCTGCATGTGTGTCCACGGCAGCGGGCACGTCCTGGGTGACGTGACCAGGACCAGGCGGTGTCTGCGTGCCTGGGTGAGCCGGCCCAGTTCAGTCCTGGCTCTTTGGACTGGGAGGGTTGTGCTCGGAGGAGCAGGGAGCGCTCCCGGAGCGGTTCGTCACCAGGGACAGAGGAGCAGAGCTCTGCTCCTGGCACGGCTGGTGTCGGCGGGTTCCCCTCCGCGGGTCTGACGCGACGGCGCAGCCCTGGCTGCCATCGCTGGGGGCTGGAGCGCAGCCCTGCCCGTGCAGGAGCTGGGGCAGTCGCCAGCTTGCTGCTACTGCTGCTGCCTTCCGCGGGGCAAGCAATGCAGAGGGCTTGGGCAGGGCACGGCAGCGGCCCCAGCTCCTGCGTGGCTGCGCCGGGGCGTGCAGCCAGGTTTGCCATCCTCGCCTGGGGGTCCTGGACCCTCCCCGCCCTGGGTGCGTGGCCACAGCAGCTCCTGGGGGGGAGTGGGAGAACTGGGGTGATGGGCAGGGGTCAATCACCCGAGGCGCTGTTAGAGCACGTTGGCAGGACAGCCTACGGCGGCCGTGAGCCTGCCCACGGGCTCTGCTGTGCTTCCAGGGGTTCATCCACACCCTGCCTGACAAAAGAAAGAAATCAGCTCTCCTTTCAGGGCATTGCAGTGGGTTCTCGGAGCCGCATCTCCCTGTGCTGGTGGGGCCTTTCGCACAGCCAGAGCTGCCAGCGCAACGTCCCCATCTCTCCTCCCCGGGGGCTGATGCCCTTGCACGGCAGCAGAAGGCTGTTCCCCGGCTCTGGCCCCATGGCGAGCAGACGTACGATGGTCCGGGTCCAAGACCAGCGGTAGGTACGGGCCGGGAGGAGAGCAAGGAGGAGCTGTGGGGGTGGGAGAGGGTGTGCTGCGGAGGGAGGTCTCGAAGCAGCTCCCCGTAAAGGTGAGGTGGGGAGGCTGGAGGAGGAGGAGGAGGGCTGGCAGCAGTGCGGGTTGGGGAGCAGCCAGCGTGGAGGCAGGTGGACTGCGGGCTCCTGGGAGCGATGGACCCACCTCACCTTCCCGCAAGGCGAGGATCTTTGCAGGGGGGAGGACGGAGCGTGCGGCAGGAGCTCCCCGGCAGCAAAAGGAGGAGCGTGGGCAGAGGAGACAATGCTGATCCAGCCGGGGACCGCAGCCTGCCCCTCCACCCCCTCCTGCGCCTGCCGTGGCTGAGGGTGCCCCCGCTTGCAGGCTCTGCTCCCCAGGATGCGCCGGAGCCGGGGGGACGCAGAGGGGCCATGGGGGCTGTCGGCGTCCTGGGCTGGCTGATAGGGGTGGCAACGGGACAGCGTGGCTTGGGCGCCGGGGCACCCGGGGAGGTGACGGGGTGCGGGGGCAGCGGCAGCACCCCGGGGCGCGCAGGAGAGCTCAGGCAGGGACGCGGCCCCCAGCCGGCAGCTGCCCCCCCCTGCCCCCCAGGCGCCTGGCCCTGCAGCCCCAAGTACTTCGGCCGCGACGCCCTGGTGTGCGTCTGCAACGCCACGTACTGCGACACGCTGGACCCCGTGGTCCTGCCGGCCCCGGGCACCTACGTCAAGTACGAGAGCAGCAAGGCCGGCAAGCGGCTGGAGCGCAGCGAGGGGAGCTTCCAGCGCAGCCTGCGTGCCCCAGGTACCCGCTGTGGCTGGGCGGGCAGCAGGTGCCAGCGCAGGACCCCCGGGCACCGTGAGCTGAGCCGGGGTCTCCCTCGCAGGGCTGCTGCTGATGCTCAACGTCTCTGCGCTGTACCAGCACGTGAAGGGCTTTGGTGGGTCCCTCTCCGATGCTGCTGCCCTGAACATCCTGGGGCTGTCGCGGCCAGCCCAGGACAACCTGCTGCGCTCCTACTTCTCCGAGAGCGGTGAGCGATGAGGGCACCGGCAGCTTGGGGCAGCTCGTGGGGTCCCCGGAGGGGGCTGTGCCCGTCCCCGCTGCAGGGACACCCATCACCCGGGCACCTGCTCCGGTGCTGCTTGATGCCTTTCCTGCTCCGCAGGGATTGAGTACAACCTCATCCGCCTCCCCATGGCTTGCAGCGACTTCTCCATGCGCCCCTACAGCTACGACGACGTCCCCCATGACTACGAGCTGAAGCACTTCAGGCTGGCAGAGGAGGACGTGAAGATGAAGGTGGGAGGCTGAAGCCACTGCCATCGGCACCCACGACAACCCCTTTCCCGCTGGAGCTCCTGCGCGTGCTGGCACCCCCGTGACCAGGCCCCCCACGCATGGCGGCAGGGTGCGTGGGGACAGCCCGTGGGAGCTGGCACCTCCTCTGCGGCAGGTCCTGGCGCGTCCCGGCTGGCACTGGCAGGGTGCGGAGCCGCGGCGCCATGCCATGGGGCGGTGCGCGCAGGCTGCCGTTCCCCACGGAGGTCCCTCGAGTGCTCCTCTTCCTCCCGTGCTGGGCCGTGTGGTTTTGGGGGGCTGCAGCTGGAGCTGAGCCAGTCCCTCTGCCCCCTCCCGCAGATCCCCCTCCTGCACCGAGCCTCGGCCATGAGCAGGCGGCCGCTGTCACTGTACGCCAGCCCCTGGACCTCCCCAGCCTGGATGAAGAGTAATGGGGACGTCCGTGGGAAGGGCACGCTGAAGGGGCAGGCGGGGGACAAGTACCACAAGACCTGGGCCAACTACTTCATCAAGTACCGTCCCCCGGGGCCGGGATGCTCCAGGACCGCAGGGGGCCGGGGCGGGCAGAGGGCGGGCAGGCGCGGCTGACGCTGCCCCCCATTCCCTGTGCCAGGTTCCTGGACGAATACGCCAAACACAACGTGACCTTCTGGGCGGTGACGGCGCAGAACGAGCCCCTCACGGCGCTCTTCGCGCACCCCCAGTTCCCCACCGTTGTCTTCACCGCCGCGCAGCAACGGGACTTCATCGTCCGCGACCTGGGCCCCGCGCTGGCCCGCAGCCCCCACCGCACCCGCCTCATCGTCCTGGACGACCAGCGCATCCACCTCCCGCACTGGGCCAAAGCGGTGAAGAGCAAATCCCACCGCCCTGCCCGGCTCCTTCCTCTCCCTCCGCTCCATGTCCCATCCAAGCCTTGGGTTTTAGCTGAAAATTAAGCCAGCAGCCGCTCCCAGCCCCAGACAGAGCCTGCCGGAGAGGGAGCCGGAGCCAGCTAATTCAGTAGCAACCGCCTCCGCGTGTGCCTGGCTGAAGCAGGGACAGGAGGTGGCATCCGCGTCCCGGATTCCCACAGCGCGGCATGCAGAGGTGCTGCTGGCACCTTCTCCGGGCAGAGTTCCGTCTGCTTCGGCTTACCCTTCGCGCTGCTGAAGAGCTGTTTGTGGGCATTACCTTAAACTAAAAGAAAAGAAAATAAAACGCGCTCCTGCCCCTGCCTCGAGCGAGGCTGGAGCTGCCGCGGAGGACGCGGCGCGTCCCTCCCTCGCCTCGAACGGGGAGCACCCGGGGACCAGGCAGGGCCATGGCGCAGGAGCACCCGGGGGGGATGCGGAGGGAGGACCGGGCAGCGGCGGGAGCTGTGCGGGGGGCGAGGAGCCCACCGAGGGGCACGTCTGCCCCCACACACCCATTGCTCCGTACCCAGCGGGGTGCCAGACCCGCGTCGGCGTCACCGATGAGTGGTAATTCTTGAAGCGACATAACCTCTCATCTGTGACAGTCGGGGTGCTGCTCGTGGCTTGCTGCTTGGGGTGCAGGTGCTGAAGGGGGGGGCTGCAGGGAGGAAGGGACAAGAGGGGAGGCAGGAGGCCCTAGGAGCCCCCGCTGGCGTGTGGGGTCCGTGTCTCCATCCCCACGGGGCTCAGGGCGCTGGCGGCCCTGGTGTGAGGCATCTCCTCTGCTCCCCCCAGGTCCTGGGCAATGCCACCGCTGCCCGCTACGTCGCCGGCGTGGGGGTTCACTGGTACCTGGATGGCATCGTCCCGGCCAGCTGCAGCCTGGAGGCCACCCACAAGCTCTTCCCTGACCATTTTCTCCTCTACACCGAGGCCTGCAGCGGCTTCCTCACCCTCTGGTTTTCCGTGTCCCTGGGCTGCTGGGAGCGAGGGGAACGCTACAGCCACAGCATCCTGACGGTACGGCCCCCCGGCACTGCCCGCCCGGGGCTGGGGGCCTGGCTCAGCCCCGCTCAGCCCCTTCCCCGCCTGCCCAGGTCCTGAACCACTTTGTGGCCGGCTGGACCGACTGGAACCTGGCCCTGAACCTGGAGGGGGGCCCCAACTGGGTCAAGAACTACGTGGACAGCCCCGTCATCGTGGACACCAGCGAAGGCATCTTCTACAAGCAGCCCATGTTCTACCACCTGGGGCACTTCAGGTGGGTCGGGGCCGGGGGGGCTCGGGTGCTGCCGCCAGCCCAAGACCACGGCACGATCGCTCTCCTGCTCCTCTCCCTGCAGCAAGTTCATCCCTGAGGGCTCCCGGCGCGTGGGGCTGCACAGCAGACGCAGATGTCTCACGTGTCAGCTGGAGCACGTGGCCGTCCTGCGCCCTGACGGGGCCCTCGTCCTGGTGGTCCTCAACAGGTCAGCGGGGCCGTCGGGGCGGGGGGACGCGGGGGGATGCTCGGCCTCGGCCGTGCCGACCTGCTCAGCCCCTCTCGCCCCCCAGGTTTGGCTGGGACGTGCCGTTTGGGATCCAGGACCCCGCCGTTGGGTTCATCGAGACGGTGGCTCCGGCCAACTCCATCCAGACCTACCTGTGGCACCAGCAGTGATGGCCAGGGCAGTGCTGGGGACGGCGCTGAGTGGCTGGGCGTCTCCGGGGCTCAGCTCTTCCCCCACCCCTTCCAGCATCCTTCAATGGTGGAAGCGGGTGGTGACCCGCCGCTGGGGGTGCGGGAGGGACCGGGGGTCCTGCCCCAACACGAGGGGCTGCGTGTGCTCCCAGCGCTGGGGTCTCGCCCGGGCCGCTGCTGCTGGCGCTTCCCAGCCTCCCCCTCCCTCCCCAGCACCCCCCAGCCCCCGAAAGCTCCTGCTGCGCCGTCTCCCGGCCCAC